TATTAACCTCACAGGAAACACTCAAAACAACACTCAACCACTCACAAGATGTAGTAAGATACTGTCCAGATCTTAAATAAACAATGTCAAGATAATCCATTATAAATTAAGTGGATTTATTATGGTATTCATGTTATACGTAATCATACTCTTAAAAGTTATAACCACAAATGCGTAGGTATTATAATGTATTATAAATGTTATGGTTATTTATGAGATGATACAACATATTATTAAGCTTTTTTATAATGCTTTATGCATTAATTATAATGCCTTAAGAAAACCCTTATAATGTATTATAAATACAGGCTTCATAGAAAGTGTTACCGGATTGACAAACAATTGAGGAAAGAAGAGAGAACATTCAGTTGGTGGGTTTTGCTCTTATATACTTACATTTGGAGTTTGGAGTTAGATGTCAGTAACATGATTATTCTGTTTGGTTCTCTCTCTCTACAACCCCAACAGTGCATACGTATTAAACAATGTTAAAGCAAATGTTTCTTATTTAATTCTCCCTCCTCCCTCTCTCTCTCTCTCTTTTTATCTCTCTCAGGAGTTGAAGCCTACAGCCTTTCTGTCCATGCAGCAACTGATGGAAAAGGGGGTCTTTTTTATGATGTTGTATTATGAGTTATTGAAAAAATGAGTATTTACAGTATATAAATATGCATTCTTGCATCATTCTTGAGTCTTGTGTCTTGCCTCTCTACAAACTTTTAAATATCTGGCTGTAATTTAGTGACTGCAAATGCTGATTTCATTTGATTCCATCTTTATTATACCTGATAATGAGCTAGTTCAACTTAAGGGGGCTAATCAATATACAGTATATTTCAAGAAACTAAGACTTAAGGTACTCCACTTTTTCAGTTGTTTAAAGACTGAAATACATTTTTCATTTATATTTTAAGTGTAAATTCATTTAAATTTAAAAGGTATTACACACTTTGTAATTAACATCTGATGCATTTATAAATAAAAAATCACAATTGAAAAAAAACAAAAAAATGTTCCTGAGATTCAATATCTTTAAGAACATGTACAAACATTACTACAAACTAAACCACCAGGGTCCTACAACTGCGGTCCTAGAACTGCGGTCCTGAAACTGCAGCCTCCGGTTGTGCAGGAACACCCTTCTCCATCGCTCTGCCATTATTCAACCATTTGTCGCTTCACACTCCCGAACAGTAGGAGGCGGAAATGCGCTTTTTACGTTGGGTTTCCAGTCACGATTAAACAGCAGCAGAAGAAGAAGACATCCTGCAGTCTGGCGTTCAGACTGAATCATCTTCATAAAATAAGACTAAAACATAGTTTTAATATGTTCGCATGTTAGCAGCATCTTTATACTTCAGCTCTTCATCGACAGAACGGTAAGAGACGCACCTGCGTTATTCATCTGCATAAACACCTGTCGCTGTCATAATAATAATGATGTTGACAGTAACGAGCAACTTTAAAAGTTCAGGGTATAATGCTAGTACAGATGATTTAAAGTGAGTTTTATTAATGCTGCTGTATTTCAGAGCATCTGAATCAGAGCTGATAATGTTCACAGACATGGACTATGAGCTGGAGGAGGACAAACTGTGAGTATCCTTAAAATAACAAGCTATTTACTTGCTAACATGATGGCACATCCTGTGGGGGAAATAGACATCTGTCTGTGTGTAGTCACACTTATAGATGTCTTCAAATACAATACAATTTACGATAAAAATAATTGAAAATGGAAAAAAGAAGAGCAAGTGTTCGTTTAAATCAGAGCTACAGTATCTCACAGAAGTGAGTACACTCCTCACATTTTTGTAAATATTTTATTAATATCTTTTCATGTGACAACACTGAAGAAATGACACTTTGCTACAATGTAAAGTAGTGAGTGTACAGCTTGTACAACAGTGTAAATTTGCTGTCCCCTCAAAATAACTCAACACACAGCCATTAATGTCTAAACCGCTGGCCACAAAAGTGAGTACACCCCTAAGTGAAAATTTCTAAATTGGGCCCAATTAGCCATTTTCTCTCCCCGGTGTCATGTGACTCATTAGTGTTACAAGGTCTCAGGTGTGAATGGTGTGTTAATTTAAATCAGAGCTATATATATATATTGGCAGATTAAGTGTATAAATGGATGTCAGAGAGTATTGTGTTGACTTTACAGACAGTCATGTGTGTGTGATATCGTGTTGTATTCGTGTCCAGTGGGATTCCTACGGTTCCTGGAACAGTGACTCTGAAGAAAGACTCGCAGAACCTGATTGGGATCAGTATTGGGGGCGGAGCTCAGTTCTGCCCGTGTCTCTACATCGTACAGGTCAGACATCCACACTCCATCCTCATTAGGGCTGAACGATTAATTGCATTTGTGATAATATCGCGATATGAAAAATTTAGATTTTTCAATCGCAGAGGCTGCGATTACACTCGGTCACGTGACACACGAGAGTAAAGAGGTGTGTTTGACTTGAAGATCAGATCGGTGTATGACATCAAAGTACGGCGAGCGAGATATACTGTGATTGTAGCTGTTAAATAAAAATGTCATTCATATCATGCATCACCTAATTTCATCGTTACATATAGGCCTGGCCTACAGAAAAGAACATTTATGTTTAATCTATCTAATAGTGTGTTGGTCATACTATACAATGATTTATAGCTTGTCTTTGTTGAATAATACAGAACATAAAGAGCTTTAAAAAAAAATAATTGCATATTAAATCGCAATCAGATTATTTTCCAAAATCGTTCAGCCCTAATCCTCATCCTCTCAATCAATGCGTCGCATTCAATAATAACGACGTGGGTTTGTTAGAAGCTATAAAAACGTGTGGTTTTTGTGTTTGCGCCGTTTCCATTGTTTCCGCACACTTTTCAATTGATTCTACACATCTAATTTTGAAAGTCACTGAAGATTTGTGACTTTTGAAACGTTCGAGCACGGATTTCAAACACAATTCAGCATTGTAAATGAGACCCGGTGTCTTTATCTGCTCAGTTTTACCCAGATAAAATAGTCTTTTTGCGTATGACGTATATAAGTATTTGAACTGTGTGATTTTGAAAGGATGCTAGTATTTTTGATTATTTTGTGAAATGCACAAGAACCAGATCAATTGTTGTTGTTTCCTTGTTAAAGTGCATCAGAAGGCTTCAGTCTGTTTCTGTTATAAAATATGCTTTCCAGGGTTTGAATTTGTTCTTTTTTCAATTTAAATTAATTTGGAATAACATGTCTTAAATTCATAATTGTATTGTATCAAATGTTGCGTGAGAGAATACAGTGCATTATCATGTAACTTTTTGCAAAATAAATTAAAATGCATTAAAATAAATAAAAATGTAAAAAAAAAAAAAATCTTAAAATCTTGTAGTGTATCGTCAGCTGTTTTGCCTGTCGTGAATGTGCCGGTCTGATGTACTGAAGCTCAATCGAGGAGATGTCTGTGTGCTCAGGTGTTTGATAACACTCCGGCCGCTCTGGACAGCACTCTGGCTGCCGGTGACGAGATCACAGGAGTGAACGGCAAACCGGTGAAAGGAAAGACTAAAGTAGAGGTGGCCAAGATGATCCAGGCAGTGCAGGTACAACACTTAAAACAGCAACTCAAGTCAAATCATGCCAGCTTTATTTGTGGAGCTGTTTTTTTCACAGTTTTGTAATATTGTTTCTGATATCTTAATGTCTTAGTCACATTGAGCCGTTCAGAGCTGAATGATTAGACCGTTTACATGTCGAGCTGATATAAACAACAATACACACCAGTCACACAACACTGCTCTTGTTTGCTATGATTATTGACATGTGACCGTGTTATATTTTGAAGTAATCCATCTGTATCAGCTCAGTCACTCTGTTTTGGGAAATTTCTTCCAGTTTTGTCATAATACAGTTGAAACTACTATAATGTATAATTTGGTTCACTTAAAGCTGCAATACTGTCAGTCAGACTGATTGCATTTTTTAATTTTCCAAGGGTAAGGTTATAACAGTGTTGTTAAATATTAAAATTGCTTCTAATTTGTTTGCATTTTTTGTTCATTTGTAATACATAGCATGCTAATTTAGTGAACTTTGAGAACAACAGTGTGAAAGTCTTACAGATGAAAATTGTTTTACATTGTTAATTGCAGGAAATGTGAATCAGGAATCATATGACTGAAATCGCTATATGACTGTCTGAAGTCAAACATTACAGGAATCACAAGAGCAACGTTATTCACACATCATTACCTTATTCTGCCACAGATGTGTTTTCTTCTGTTCTTATGCACAGAATCACATGATCACAGTTGTTATCTTGTACAAAGGTTTATTTTTATTGATGAATGCGATTGTGATCTGCAGGATGATCCAGTCTTGATCCAGTATAATAAACTGCAGGCCGACCCGAAGCAGGGCAAATCTCTGGATATCGGTAAAAACTCTCAAACTATACTAGCTTAATGTGTTTGAATGGATGCAGAAGTGATGAAGTAGCTCATGTGTGTGTGTTTGTGTGTGTCAGTGCTGAAGAAGGTGAAGCATCGGCTGGTGGAGAACATGAGTTCAGGAACCGCAGACGCTCTGGGACTCAGCAGAGCCATTCTGTGCAACGGTCAGATCATTCCCAGTGTTTCATCACGAATGCATTACAACACTGGTTTCTGCACATATTAAAGACACTACAACAAGTGACTGCAGTAGCAGACTCCTAAATGCTTTTCAATCTAACTTATGAATCATTATTGCACATTGCAGTAATGAGAAAGAGATGTGTTGCATGACAGAATCTTTGTTTGGGAGCAGAGTACTGATAGGTTCATGTGAGGATGTAATCTGTGACATGAGAAATCACGTGTGTGTGTGTGTCTCTCTGTGTGTGTGTGTGTGTGTGTGTGTGTGTGTGTCTCTGTGTGTGTGTGTGTGTGTGTGTCTCTCTGTGTGTGTGTGTGTGTGTGTGTGTCTCTCTGTGTGTGTGTGTGTGTGTCTCTCTGTGTGTGTGTGTGTGTGTGTGTGTCTTGGTGTGTGTGTGTGTGTGTGTGTGCGCGCGCGCGCGAGTGTCTGTGTGTGTCTCTGTGTGTCTTTGTGTGAGTGTGAGTGTCTCTGAGTGTGTGTAAGAGTCTCTGTGTGTGTGTGTCTGCCTGCCTGCCTGTGTGTCTGTCTGCCTGCCTGCCTGCGTGTGTGTGTGTGTCTTTGTGTGAGTGTCTGTGTGTGTGTCTGCCTGCCTGTGTGTGTGTGTTGCAGATGGTCTGGTGAGGAGGCTGGAGGAGCTGGAGAAAACGGCTGAGCTTTATAAAGGTGATTCTTTCATACTGTTACTGCATTAAAACAGTGACAGAGAGTTTAATCTGGAAGTAATCTGAGTGTTTGTGTGTGTTTAGGACTGATGGAGCACACGAAGAGACTGTTAAGAGCTTTCTATGAGCTCTCACAGACTCACAGGGGTACAGTAGATGATTCTTTGATTCACGTTCATATGATTCATTATAAGCTTCTATAAAGTGTTTCAAAATGTTAATTTTATTGACAAAAAACTTCTTTCAGAATAGACATATAAAACATCCCATTTGAGATCAGATTCTCAAGATTTGTGTCTAGTTACTCATGCACTAACAACATTATGCCTTCTAGTAGTAGTAACACCAACTGTGACCAAGAAAACGCTCTATAAATCATCAGATGTGTGATACAGTGTTTGGTTTTCTCTCTCAGCGTTTGGCGACGTGTTTTCCGTCATCGGCGTCCGTGAGCCGCAGGCCGCCGCCAGCGAAGCCTTTGTGAAGTTTGCCGAAGCTCATCGAAACATGGAGAAGTTCGGCATCCAGCTGCTGAAGACCATCAAACCCGTGAGAGACCAGATCTGAAATTAGTTTACACAGAGACTGAAAGTAGAGCAACTGTAGAACAACTAAAAATGCAACGAAAACACTACAGCTTGCTAAATAATGTGCGTTTGTCTGTCAGATGCTGCATGATCTGAACACGTATCTTCACAAAGCCATTCCTGACACCAAGCTCACCATCCGCAAATACCTGGACGTCAAGTTTGAGTACTTGGTATGAGAACAGCAATTAGATTCACTCATCATAGTCTGTTGATATGAGATGTTACATTAACAGAGGGATTTTGAGAGTTTATTGATGCGTGTTTGTTTCAGTCGTACTGTCTGAAGGTGAAGGAGATGGATGATGAAGAGTACAGCTGTATCGTGAGTTCACGCACTGTCCGTTCATCATTAACTAACCACTACCAGACTGCTCAAATCTGCTCGAGATCATTTGACTCTTAATATATTGTTACTGTTTAAACCTCCTTAACACATTTACTGATTATAATGAGTGTTTTGGAGGTGGAGGATAGAGTTCAGCGTTGAACTTTGACCCTGATGCAGTCCTTCACACTGATCAGGATTTTTTTTTTTAAATGATAAAAACACTGAGCGACATTAAAATGCATCCTACCATTTTAGATTTACAATTTAATAAGCATTAGTTTGTAATCTCTATTTTTGCCATCTGTTGCCAAAATGCCTAATTTACAAAAGATACACCAATTTGACTGATAAAAATGTGAAAAAAAAAATCATGACTATGTTAAGTGCACCCTAAGAATTTTAGATTTTTGTAATATGCAATTTTATTTATGTATTATTGGTGTTAATAAAGCGTTAAATAATGTTTGCGTGTGTTTCAGGCGTTGGGCGACCCGTTGTACCGCGTCAGCACCGGTAACTATGAGTACCGCTTGATTCTGCGCTGTCGACAGGAAGCTCGCACACGGTTCGCCAAGATGCGCAAGGACGTTCTGGAGAAAATCGAACTCCTGGACCAGAAACACGGTGAGTTGAGGAGAAATGCAGCAGAATACATGATCTGTTCTATGTCGTTTTAACCAGTGTTCGAACTATACCGTGGACTTTGGGGGGAGCCCACTTGATTTTTTTTTTATAATGGGGGGATGGGGGTCGTGCGCTTGCGCGTGCCTCAAAAGAGGGCGTGTGTGAAAAATTCTGACTGTTTTCACAGTATATCTGTACAAGTATTATTAAAAAATATGAATACTGATTTTTCACATTTTAGTTTATTTGGACTAAAATGTAGTTTTACAAAGTAATGTTCTTCAGTTTGATTATGTTCTCAAGTGGAGAAAAGTACGAATGAATAATAATGACCTTAAGCACTAAAATGATTGGAAATAAATTAAAACTAAAAGTGAAACTAAAACTCATTTTTTTGCCTATTTCTAAACTAATAAAACTAAAAATAAATAAATAAAAAAACTGAAATGTAATATAAAAAAAAACTAATAAAGATGACCAAAAAACCCATGCTAAACTAAAATTAATAAAAGCTATATAGACATTTCAAAATACCAAAAAAAATTAAGATTAAAATGACTAAAAATGTAATTTAAAATGAAAACGCAAAATATTTAAGAAGTGTATATAAATATTGTATATTTTATATATAATAGTGTAAAATAATTTAGCTATTAGTTATAATGATAATATAAAATAATATCGTTAGTTTATAAATAATACTAAAACAACACTGTTTTCACAGTATATCAACATATTATAAATTTTTTGATGTGTGATTTGGGTTGACGATTTATTTTAGCTAAAATGTAGTAGTTTTTTTTTTGATAAAATGTAGTACTTGTATTTTGTTTATATATAAGTGAGTGATTAATACTAATGGTTGCATGGTGTTTTGTGTGTTTCAGGCAGATTTTTGATCATTACACCAACATGTACCCGCAGCTGATCCAGAATCCCAAAACGCTGGTGGCCGTGAAGCGCTTCATGGCGTGAGTGAGGCTCCTCTGTGTGTGTGTGTGTGTGTGTGTGTGTGTGCGTGCGCGTCTGTACAGGACGTGTTGCTGATTGTGTGTTGATCTGTAGTAAGCAGGACGAGTGGTCTCGGGCTCAGGTGAAGCGTAACACCAGCGATCCTCTGTGGATTCACACAGGTCTGATTCTGGCGCAGCTGGACGGACTGCAGGCTGGAGTGACCGACTGGGCCAAACAACACGGGAGGACGGTGAGACGAGGCTGAGATACTTCACTGGGAAGATTAGTTAAAAAAAAACTACTTTAAAAATGACATAAATGTTTAAAAATAGTTTTTATTATATTTTTTTTAAGGCTCTGTTTGAACATCTAAAAATACTTTAAGGCTGTATTTCCTTTATTTGTCTTAATTCTTACTTTTTTGAGTTTTTTATTTGTTTTATTCAGACACTATTTCCTTTTTGTATCTATTTTTTACTATAAAAATTAGTTAAATGGAGGAATGTAACGATTCACTCAACTCACGATTCGATTCACAAATTATTTTTTTACAAAATGAGATTTAAGACAAATTATAAATTAAATGTGTCCTTTTATTATTGCTTGGACAAAATACTGCACGTTTCTTTGTGAAATAGAAATATAACTATAATAATATATCACTTGTATATTACTGCTTTTTGGTTGGTTTTGATTGCTTCTAGTGTCCTCATTTGTAAGCCGCTTTGGATAAAAGCTTCTGCTAAATAATGTAAATGTAAATAACAAAACTAAATAGAAATTTTAAAACGGGCCCCAAATCAAATACATAAGTAACACAAATAAAATAAATCTCTTCATATAAACAAACTAAGGCTTTGTCTGTGCTCTTAACATTTAAAATGAGAGGCAACCACTGCATTTTAATCATGATCCAAACACAGATGCAGCATACATGCAACACGAGCAGTTTTTAATCTAAATTAGATTGTATAATTTCGAAATTTGAAGCAAAAACAGAATGATTTGACTTCAGTTTTGTGAAACTATGCATAAAAAAAATATCTGCATGAAACCGAAACAGCAGACGAGCTGAACGAGATGCAGATGCACTCTCTGCCAGCAGGTGGCGCTTAAAGCCTTTCCTGGTTTCGGCTGTAAACAAAGCAGCGCTGCACTTATGAACTTTAATATGCATTATACAGAGGCAAGATGAAAAGAAAAAATACCATCTAAACTTTTCTAAAGACAGTAAGTTCCCCTCAGACATGCATTCATATAAACTCCTACTCCTAAATGAATCGCGATTTGTTAAGCATCTCAACCGATTTGAATCGTCACACATTTCAATCGATTTCAACCGGCTCGCGGTTAATCATTACATACCTAATTAAATGTTTTATTAAGGATCTATTTCTTTTATTTTTGCAGACGAGCTGAACGAGATGCAGATGCACTCTCTGCCAGCAGGTGGCGCTTAAAGCCTTTCCTGGTTTCGGCTGTAAACAAAGCAGCGCTGCACTTATGAACTTTAATATGCATTATACAGAGGCAAGATGAAAAGAAAAAATACCATCTAAACTTTTCTAAAGACAGTAAGTTCCCCTCAGACATGCATTCATAAAAACTCCTACTCCTAAATGAATCGCGATTTGTTTAGCATCTCAACCGATTTGAATCGTCACACATTTCAATCGATTTCAACCGGCTCACGGTTAATCATTACATACCTAATTAAATGTTTTATTAAGGATCTATTTCTTTTATTTTTACTATATTTCTTTCTTTAAAAATGCAAACATTTAAACCTCTATTCAAATAAATCTGAGGTGTATTTAGCTGAAGGTTTATTAGTACTAGTCAGTGTGTGTTTTTCACGCTCATCTCCCTCTGTAGCCTCTGTCCCAGTTTGCCGTTCAGTTCCTGAATGCGGTCGGTGATCTGCTGGATCTGATCCCGGCGCTGGTTACCGGCGGGATGCCTGGCTTTAATCAGTATAAAGCTCCTCCGATGGGCCACTGCTCTGCACTCATAAAGGTACCAAACGTCCGTCAGACATCAGCTGATGTGATGGTTTCTCTCATCTGCCGTGTGTTTCAGATGTTGCCTGGCTTTGAGAACCTGTTGTTCGCTCACTCCAGCTGGTACACGTACGCCGCCACCATGCGCATCTACAAACACTGGGACTTCAGACTGAACGAACCGCATACGGCCACCGGGAAACTCTCCTTCAGCAGCTACCCTGGTACACTCACTCACTCATTTCTTACTTTAAAAATTAACCATCTCAGAAGTTTGATTTATTTGATTAAGATTCTATTTCCTTTTATTTTTCTTGTTTATAACTTGATTTAAATGACTTGAACTTCCAAAAAGAGATTTTATTGGCACCCTGGTAAACCCACTCACTCACACATTAATTCATTCCCTCGTTGATTTACTCCTTCTTCACACACTCATTCACTCATTTTTTCACTCATAAATGTATTCATTTACTCATTCATTTACTGATTGATTTATTCACTCACTAATTAATTTACTCATTCATTTGCTCACTCATTCATTCAGTCACTCATTTGCTCACTCACTCATTCACTCATTGATTTACTCCATTCATTCACCCACTCTCACTCACTCCTTCATTCACTCACTCCTTTATTCACTCACTTACTCACTCCATTCACTTTTATTCACTAACTCATTCATTTGATTAATTTATTCACTCACTCACTCACTAATTCATTAATTTCCTCACTCATTCACTCTCACTCATTATTCACTCATTCAGTCACACACATTAATTTACTGATTCATTTATTCACTCACTCACTAATTAATTCACTCATTTCTTCACTCACTGATTTACTCCATATATTCATTCGTTCTCTCATTCATTCAGTCACTCACTCATTCATTCACTCACACACTTTCACTCATACATTTATTCATTTACACATTCACTCATTCATTTACGGATTCATTTATTCACTCACTAATTCATTTGCTCACTCACTCACTCATTCATTGATTTACTCCATTCATTCATATTCATTTATTGATTCATTCACTCACTCATTCACTAATTTCCTCACTCACTCATTCACCCACTCTCACTCATTCGTCGCTCACTCCTTTATTCACTCACTCACTCCATTCAATTTTATTCACTAATGCATTCATTTATTGATTCCTTTATTCACTCTCATTCACTCACTCATTTCACTCCTTTTTATATTATCTGTAATGTACTGTTTTTAAAGTTGCAGGGCAGTATATACTGTGTAGTATAGTAGTGTTATATTGTATTTGTTTATGATAGTATTTTTCGAGTAGCAGGCAGGATATAGTGTGTGGTTTGTGCAATATGTGAATGGCTGATGTCTGTGAATGTGTGTTCAGGGTTTCTGGTGTCTCTGGATGATTTCTATCTGCTGGGCAGCGGTTTAATGATGACTCAGACCACCAATAACATCTTCAACACCTCGTTGTACTCCTACATCACTCCTGCCAGTCTGTTCTCCTGGCAGAGGGTTCGACTGGCACACGCACTGGCAAGCACTGGAGAGCAGTGGGCCAAAACCTTCTCCAGATACAACTCTGGTCAGAAATCACATTCACTTGCACAACTTGCAGTTACTAATAAAGTTACTGATCAGCTGATGTTTTATTTACTCTGTTTTTGTGAGTGTTCTGTCTGGACTGTTTGCTCTGTCATGAGGGTTTCTCTGATCCTGTGCTGAATCTGTCCGTCAGGGACGTATAATAACCAGTACATGGTTGTGGATGTGAGTAAAGTGAATCTAGGCAGCAGTCTGGAGGACGGAGCGCTGACTGTGGTGGAGCAGATCCCGGGACTGGTGGAGTATTCAGACCAGACGCAGACGCTGCGCAGAGGTCCAAAGCGCAAATACACTTCATGCTGAACATTTCAGTTCTTTTGACTTCGGGTTGTTCTGAAACCTGGACATGTTGTGCATCTGTTGCTATAGTAAATGTGTTTCTTCTGCAGGTTACTGGCCGTCCTACAATGTGCCCTTCCACCGTAAGATCTACGATCTGAGTGGATATGAGCAGATGTGGAAGGAGCATGGCGAGGATTTCTCCTACGACCTTTGCCCTCGCGCCAAGATCTTCCGCCGCGACCAGTCGTCTGTCAGAGACCTGAACTCCCTCAAACACATCATGAGATACAACGGTAACGACTCACAACATTAACCATAATAAAGCGGTATCGGTATTTATCGACGGTACTCCATCATCGATAACGATAGAAAAATGTTTGATATGTTGCACGATAGCTTCACGCTTTTTTCATTTAAAAGTGAAAAACAGAGACCCAACAAAACACACAAACGCATGCTAAAATGAGTGCCATGCCTGCCTGCGATGAGGAGACTGGGAATCAAAAAAAGCAATATTAGTCGAATTTAAAATAAAAATTCGCGTTCGAATGCAAAAACGATGTATTTGAATATTAGGTGTGCGTCAGGGAGCTTATCAGATTATCATGTAAGTGTCGTTGTTGCATTTGAATGTTTTTGTTAGTCTATCCAGTTGAACCCACAAACTGTGTCGCTGCTGCATTTTTCATTCAAAATATAAGAGAAATATAGACGCTCAATGCAGAGAAGATATTGCTTAGGTTGAAACCCAAACCAAGCCATTCACACAGAACGCATATTCGGCGCATTCTTGAGGTGCACAACTTGACTGTTGTACTCATGTCTCGAAAAAGAGGTTCAACTTTTAGGAAACACGTCTGGAGAATTTGTGGGGGGTTTATTCCATTCCACTGCGTCTCATATATTTTTAAATGCAATCGTGTGATCGGCGCTTTGGCTATTTTTATTAAGCTATGCACAAATACGTGATGCTGTTTTGTTCATAATTGTTTATGCAATTTATAAAATTCTATTTGATTTATAAATATTAGTTTAAACAGTTTTCACTTTTTTCTAGACAATCGTTATTTCATTGCATTGAATAAACAGTTTAACGAGGTGCATTATGTTGCTCATTGCGCTCTCCTGTGGCCTCAGGAGACAGGCAAATGTTTCCTTAACACTTATTTAATCTGCATATAAAATATAAGGAAGGAGATATTTGTTCATTTTATTTTGTGTTTGATTGTTAAAACTAAAATATGTTCTTGTTTGTCTTAATAAATTGGGTAAATTAAAAATACAGTGGTTAA